GAGAGAGAGAGAGAGAGAGAGAGAGAGAGAGAGAGAGAGAGAGAGAGAAAACTCCAGTCTTTTCCCGATGACCGAATTTTTGAGAGATTGATTTGATGGGTACTAGTTACAATGGTGAAAAAGACAAATACAATGCATCAAAATTTGGTTGAAGAGACATGGCACTTTCAAAACCGAGGGATCCATTTGTCGACAAATGCTAGTCAACCGAGCTGATGGTGTACCATATTTAAAGAAGTAAAACAATATTAACTAGGAAAAATACTTCTTTTGTATCATAAGATTCTTTTTATTCATAGGACTACAGTCATTCAGAATAAGCTGATTGGTTTGAATGCAGATAGACTATATGCAACACCATTATTCAGCCAATCAAGAAGGGCGTTAATGACTACATGCTGGTATTAACGACAAAACGACAAAATCATCGACTTGTGAAAGCCCAAAATCTGGGCAGTTATATGGCACTATTTTCTTTCAAAGAAGTTGTTTGCGACTTTGAGTCATCATTTATAGAATCTGTATAAATTGAATTTCCAAACGCCATAATTTGCTGATGCTATTGGTACTTTTGTCAGAATATACAAGGCCGACAAGAGGTGGGAGAATCGAGGATATATCTTCTAGCCGAAGAACACTTTATAATTTAATAAAAGAAAAACTTTGCTTGAACAAGAACTAGGAGAAACCCGGGTGTTTCTTACCCCAGGGCTCATGATCGCTCTCCACGGCCTTGAGAATGTATGGAACACTGTGCAGAAACTGGGGTTTGCACGTCCTACGCCTGCCGTCAGAAGAAGTGCAAAGGTATTAAAGGTGATGGTATTGGGCATTTTGATTAAAATCAGATCTCCACTATCCTACATGAAGATCTGACAGCAACCACTTAGGGGTCATGTTCTGGTGAACTATGTTATTACCATATTCAGTATTTTTTTCAGCCAATCAGATGAAGTCCTATGCCTTCGCATTTGGGACAATGAGCAATATGGCTGATTATCATCAGTGTGTGCCAAACGATTTGATTCACTTTCAAATTTCTGAAAGCTGCATTTCAACTTGCTAATTCAAAGGTCACCATGACCCCTAAGTAGTCAGTGTCTGATCTTTACCTAGGACAGTGTCGATCTGATTTTAATGAAATTGTTGTTTTGGATAATTTTTTTGTAGCTACTGTCCGTCGAAACTTTCCATTTCTAGCAAACTCGCGTCTCGTTAAGTTTTCAGGAATTAATCTGACTACCAATTCCTACTCTAATGTAGAACCATTAGAACCAAACTATCCACACGAACTGATGATGATGAGTTCTCAAAATTGTTAATAAAGTTTGACTTTACAAAGCCGATGCCCAGAAAGATGAAGAAATTAAACTAGTATAATCTAAAAGTAAAATAGCAGTGGAAATCGCTTTCTATTAAAATGTAAGGTACATAATTTTGTTTTTCATACATACATACATACATACATACATACATACATACATACATACATACATACATACATACATACATACATACATACATACCTACCTACCTACCTACCTACCTACCTACCTACCTACCTACCTACCTACATACATACATACATACATACATACATACATACATACATACATACATACATACATACATACATACATACATACATACATACATACATACATGCTTAACATATGTTATTTAATCATTACGATATATGTGTCTTTGTGAGTTACTAAAGATCGTTATCTAACTGTATTCAATTACATCTAAAGAAAACGTGGCGTAATGTAAAACATATTGCCATCCAAGGACTAAACTAATTTTGATATACATTTCTTCATTACACAATAAGTAGTCTTATACGGTACAATAAAACTGTTTTGAAATAGAGGAAAAAGCACACAATTTGAAAACGTCCTAATCTGGTAAATGTCTATTGCGTTAAATGCTCCCCTCGAGTGCCCAATGGTTACGATGTAAATGATATCTCCACACTCTATATCTGTGATTCTTGTATCAATACATACTATTTATATCGGATATGTTGTATTAATTGTTTTTGCGAAAAAAAAGATATCAAACTTCGCCAAATGTTATAATGCATACAACTGGCTCAATTTCTTGAGTACACTAGAAAGGTCAGTTTGAGGTTTCTACAAATAAATCAATAGTATTATTACATTGAGCCAAATGACATTACAGTTGTCAAATTTCATATTGGTGCTATAACTCTAAGAAATCCAAATGCAAGAATAGCAAGAAGGACCAGTTTAAATTCCGTTGATCTAAAAGAACAAATATCCGAGCATGTTATTCGTCATCTTCATGACAACTAAGACAGAAGATGATGAAGATGACAATTACGATGACGATGACGATGATGATAGTGTCACTGATTGAAAAAAAATCACGGGTTAATACAATTTATGTATCTTTGCATGAATAATACAATGTGTTAAATTCTTCTAAAAGGGCAAATGCAAAATGACAATTTGTTAAAATAAAATTACTCTGACTTGAAAAAACACAACCATAAATACTATCCTCAAAAATCCATGCCCTTTATAGTGGATGAACTAATAGTTTGAAAG